ACCAGAAAGAAGGACCTGTTCCAGAAAATATAGTAAAGAAATACAGTACTTAATTCTACATATAACAATGGCAGCAAGAATAGCATACGCCCAGTTCTGGAAAAATGAGAATATACCAGTGGTGGCGAACCTATGGCACGGGTGCCAGAGGCAGCACTCAGAGCCCTCTCTGTGGGCACGCGAGCCATCACCCCAGTCCTAGGCCTTCAGCTGGGTTTTATAAAACCTTTTCGCTTTAAGCCTCCGCTGCCATGTACAAAAAAAAAAAGGTTCAATCAATCAGTAAATTTCAACTTCTCACGGGGAAAAAAAAGATCTTGCAAAGTTGGACTTGATTGATTGAACTTTTTAGTCCCACCCAGTCTGCCATTACCACCGCAGACACGCCCAGCCAATGGGCCACACCCACCCAATGGGCCACACCCACCCAGCACCCGACGATGCATAAGTGGGTTTTGGGTTGCAGTTTGGGCACTCGGTCTCTAAAAGGTTCGCCATCACTGGAATATACCATCAGAGGAAGAAGTGATAAGAAAAATCCTGGACTGTGCTGAGATGGACAAATTAACAAAAGAGATAAAAGAAAAGGAAGACACAGAGTACTATCTAATATGGAACAAGTGGTATGACAGGTTGGAGACTAGAAATAATAGAGGAGAATAAATGTGGAAAGGTCAAAAGTGGAAAATGTGTGTATAATAATGTATAGTAATAAGAATATGTATTATTCTTAGTATGAAGTATAGTATGAAGGAAGAAAAATGCAAATAAGAAACAACGGGACAACAAGGACAAATATATCTAAAGAAGAATAAGGGGGGGAAATGTAAATAATAGAAGATTACCGTTACGAAATCGCTGTTAAAAAAAAAAGGGAGGAGTATACACTGTGTGTGTATATGTGTTATGTTTTGTTTTGTTTTGTTTTGTTGGTTTAAAAAATAAAAAATTATTGAAAAAAAAGAAGAAGAAGAAGGATCTGTTCCTGCCGTAATGAAGAACTTAGATGTTTGCCAGCAAGTCAGGGTGGATCAGCTGGCAGACCACATTGTACCAAGTTTGTGCTGGCAAAGGTAGGAAAACCTGCTTTTAGTCTGGAGCAAGACAAGTTAGGCAGAAATTGTCTTCACCAGAGGCTGGAGTCGGATGCAGGATATATGTTTGCATGTCACCTCTAGACATGGTTATAATAATAATAATAATAATAATAATAATAAAGTTGGAAGAGACCTTGGAGGTCATCGAGTCCAACCCCCTGCTCAGGCAGGAAACCCTATACCATTTCAGACAAATTGCTGTCCAGTCTCTTCTTAAAAACTTCCAGTGTTGGAGCATTCAACGCTTCTGGAGGCAGGTTGTTCCACTGGTTAATTGTTCTAACTGTCAGGAAGTTTCTCCTTAGTTCTAGGTTGCTTCTCTCCTTGATTAGTTTCCATCTGTTGCTTCTTGTCCTGCCTTCAGGTGCCTTGGAGAATAGCTTGACTCCCTCTTCTTTGGGGCAGCCCCTGAGATATTGGAACACTGCTCTCATGTCCCCCCTTGTCCTTATCTTTGTTAAACTAGACATACCCATACACCTTCTTGCCACTTTCATCCACTAATGGACCAATCATTTCCTTCACTTTTTTCTTGTTTTTTACATATTGAAAGAAGCTTTTTTTGTTATTTTTGACTTTGGTCGCAAACCTTAGTTCATTTTGAGCCTTAGCTTTCCTCACTTCATCTTTGCAGGCTTGGGCTATTTGCTGATATTCTGATTTAGTTATGCCTTCTCCTTAGGCAAGCTGGCTGTAAGGATGAGCCCCAAAGTGTAAAGAGTAATCAAAACACCTATGATAAAGCCCCAGCTTGATTTTCCTGTTATCGGACAATAGACAATAATAGGCTCGCAGAACAGCAGACCAAGAGCTTTGTTGAATAAAAAGGGAAGGGAATTATCACCCCCATAACTAACTTTCCATCTCGCTACCAGAACTAGTTTCTTTTTGCTGTAAAGCTGAATTTGTGAACTGCAGAAAATATAACTAAAACTGAAGCAAATGTAATTTTCTGCTACAAGTTGCTCCTCAGAGGTGGGGGGGGGAAACAACCCTGTTTATGTGGAATTTTTAAAAGAATGTTACTCTCCTTGGGGATTCTTCTTCTTCTTCTTGTGCCATATCCGTTATCAGACATTGGCGATCATGTTGGCAATCCTGTTTTTATCAGCAGCCGCACGGGGATTCACAAAATGAAAATAGTTTTGTCAGGATCTTGTAAATAAAATGTAACCGTGCCAAGCTAGATGGTGATTGTCACGTAGGGATAATTTTTACTGTTGTTTTGAAATAATTAAATGCGGGAGAAGGCAGTAATTCAGATTGGGACAGCGATGGGAACAAAGAAATGAGGATTTCTCCCTCTGAATACCACAATCCTAACCTATGGTCCTTCATGCCACAGGCTATTTTTTCAAAAAAAACAACAACAATACAGCAACAAGCTGTAACAAATATAAAAAAGATGTTGAGATTCTAGAAAGAATACAGAGAACAGCAACAAAGATGATTAGGGGACTGGAGGCTAAAACATATAAGGAACAGTTGCTGGAATTGGGTATGTCTAGTTTAATGAAGAGAAGGATGAGGAGGGACATGATAGCAGTGTTCCAGTATCTCAGGGGCTGCCACAAAGAAGAGGGAGTCAAGCTATTCTCCAAAGCCCCTGAAGGCAGGACAAGAAGCAACGGATGGAAACTAATCAAGGAGAGAAGCAACCTAGAACTAAGGAGAAACTTCCTGACAGTTAGAACAATTAACCAGTGGAACAACCTGCCTCCAGAAGCGTTGAATGCTCCAACACTGGAAGTTTTTAAGAAGAGACTGGACAGCCATTTGTCCGAAATGGTATAGGGTTTCCTGCCTGAGCAGGGGGTTGGACTAGATGACCCTCAAGGTCCCTTCCAACTTTTTATTATTATTATTATTATTATTATTATTATTATTATTATTATTATTATTATTATTATTATTATTATTATTATTATTATTATTACTACTACTACTACTACTACTATACAATTAGTCTTTCATTAATGACCATAGTTGGCACCAGAATTTCCATTGCTAAGCAAATTGGTTGATAAGTGAGACGTGCTTGATATATTAGCACAATCTTTTTTGCTATGGTTGTTAAGCAAATCACTTGCAGTTGTTAAGTGACTTTGCTTGTCAGATACCAGCTGGGAAAGTTGCAAATGGTGATCACATGACCCCAGGACATTGTGGCCATCAAAAATTCATGCCAGTTATCGAGGGCTTGAATTTTGATCACTGACCCTGGGGATGCTATGACAGTTGTAAGTACGAGGAATGGTCATAAGTCCCTTTTTTCAGTGCCATCGCAACTTAGAACCATCGCTAAATGAATGGTTGTAAGTTGAGGACTTCCTGTAGTGTCCAGTTGGATCCGTAGAAGATGAACGTATTCAGCAATCAGCTCATCAGGATGGGTCTGTGAATGTATGTAGCTTGTCTGGTTATGTATAGTTTGTGATAAACCTATTTGAGACAACAGCTCAAGGAGGATATCTTAAGACAGACACAGATTTCAACGGATAGTTAGAACCGCAGAAAAAACAACTGCTACCAACCTGCCTTCCATTCTCGGCCTGTATACTGCACGAGCCAGAAAGAGGGCTGAGAAAATATCTACAGACCCCTCACATCCTGGACATAAACTATTTCAACTTCTCCCCTCAAGATGATGCTACAGGGCATTGCATGCCAGTATAACTAGACACAAACTAGACACAACTAGACCCCCATGCCATCACTCTGCTAAATAACTAATTCCCACAACACTGTCAAACTACCTAGTAAGTCTGTATTACTATGATTCTTCTCATCTTTCCTATTACCTATCTCCTTATTGTCTTATGACTATAACTTTGTTGCTTATGTCTTATGATTTATATTGTTTTATTTAGTATCCTAGCATGCTTTATGTTGACTGCTTATGTAGTATATACTGTGACTATCACTGAGTGCTGTATCTTATGATTTATGATGAATGTATTTTATGATTATTATGATCATGATTTATCACTTGTTGCTTGTATTACGCTGAGAGCTTATGCACCGGAGACAAATTCCTTGTGTGTCCAATCACATTGGCCAATAAAGAATTCTAATTCTATTCTATTCTAAAAAGATATGTCCTTTCAGTGGATCATATTTTCTTACTATAATTCAATCTTCTTAATATCCCCTGAATCTGTTGGGATGGCTATTGTCATTAGATATTGCATATTTACCTCATCTTTTTTTCAGGAAGATCAGCATTTTGTACTGTATCTGTTTCCATTCCAACCTCTGTGTCCTCTTGATTAACTTTGTGAGGTAGGTTAGGTGTGGATAGTCAGCAACCTGTAATTATCTAATAAATCTTGTGACTGAGTGGTGATTTGAACCTGGTCTTGACCTGAACTTAGGTCAACCTGTTAACTGTGTCGCCATAAGGGTGGCTCGCTGGAATACTATACAGGAATTCCTCGTTTAGCAAACATAATTGAGATCAACAAGGGAGCCAATAAGCTAAGTGGCCTTTAATTAAAACGGCAAATGTGCTTATGATCTTCTTTCTGCTTTCCTTTGCTTTACAGATCTGCGAAGGTCATAAATGAGAGGACTGGTCACAAAGTTACGTTTTTTTATCACCATCACAACTGTGAACAGTTGCTATATGAGACTATCTGCACTGTACATATCCCCTAATTTCTAGATTAGAAGGACCTGGAAGACACTTTCAGAAGAATGTTATGGCATCTTATCTAGATTTGAGTTAATGGCCTTTTTTTAAAATTAGAAAACACTATATTTTAGATGTCTTTGAAGTCAGAGTAGGTAAGGCACTACTACATCCTAAACCTCTTTGCAAAAATATTTACGTTCAGTTCCTACTGAGTCTCATGATAGAGTAATACATGCACGTTTTATTGAAAAACCACAACAAACATTTTGTGGATATTACTGCATTCATTTAATGTTGTGCAAAATTAGACTCACAACATTCAAGATGCGAAGACCAGGTCTTCTTCAGGAGGATCTGAAGTTCTCTTCAAAATATTATGTTAAACCACCTTTTCAGGCAATAACTCAGTTCTTTATGTTCCTGGTAGTAATAGACATTTCGACCATTCAAGGGCTGCACAAGGCGGAAATTGTTTTGCATTTGCCTGTCCTCCTCAATGGTAGTAAAATATAGTGAATTTGTCATTTTTTCAACCTGGAAAAAGAGAGGGGGAAAAACCAATGGCAGGAGAGAAGAAGAAAAAAGGAGAAGACAGCAAACAGTGAAAAGTTACTTCATCTACCCAGAACGTAGATGTTTAATGTCTTAAGTAGGGATTCCTGACATTCAGCCCAGAGCGCTATTTCCTCAAATTACAACAGGTCAATTTCCTGTCATTTCAGGCAAGAAATGTGGAAACACATAAAAAGGTAGTTCTCAGCTTACAACCCAAGCTAAGAGCAGAATTTCTGTTGCTAAGCAAGGCAGTTGTTAAGTGAACTTTGCCTGATTGTGTGAACTTTTTTTAACACAGTTGTTAAGCGAATCACTGCGGTTGTTAAGTTAGGAAACACAGTTGTTAAGTGAATCTGACTCCCCCATTGACTTTGCTTGTCAGAAGGTCACAAAGGTTGATCACATGACATTGGGACACTACAACCGCCAGGAATATGGGCCAGTTGCCAAGCATCTGAAGTCAATATGGGATGCTGCAATGGCCGTAAGTGTGAAAAACAGTCATAAGTCACTTTTTTTCAGTATTGTTGTAACTTCGAACAGTCACTAAAGGAAAAGTCACTAAAAATAAAGTCTTGGGGCTTAAATGCACTATGTGATTCCATCTCATGGAGTTCTCAGCAGACTTACATATACCTGGAGCTTTCCAAACTTTGCGCCTTAACTACCAACAACTTGGTATGTATGATCTAGGTATGTCCAATTGGTCCTGCTATTATACAAGTCTTTTCCAAACACAGATTGTGGGCCATAGAGAATCCCTAGCAGACCTTTTCCCACAAGGGGTTTTTATGGGGGATGTTTTCACTTGGGGAGGGCAGCCAGCTCCCTGGACAATAACCTAAACATGTGTTAGCCCCGGTGGAGCAAGAATACAGGTAGTCTGCAACTTACAACAGTTTATTTATAAGACAAGACAAATCTTTATTGTCCTTTTTTACTATGAACAGACTGGCCCATATTAAAAATGAAATTCTGTTGCCTGCTCTCAAGAAAGTATACATCCACCACACACATACATACACAGCACACATATATAGACACACACACACACACACACACACACACTCCATACGTATACTGTATATATACATTTAGTGACCGTTCAAAGTTACAATAGCACTGAAAAAGGTAACTTATGACAATTTTTCACACATCATTAAGCAAATCCATTGTCCTGAAACTGGCAAAAACATCCAAAAATAATGGACATGTGACCGCGGGATCCTGCAGCCAGTCATAAATGTGGGCAGTTGCCAAGCAATCACGTGACTTTGAGGGTGGTTGTTTTGCAACATTTTTACGACACTCGGAAGTGCTTCACAAGCCATAAGCACCTTTCAGAGTGTTAGATCGCGCAGGCAGTAAGACACGAGTCGAGTGACAGTCAGCTCTCGGTTTATTGGCAAGGCATCAAGTAAATCCGGACTGGCTCTCTGGGCCAGGGGAGCCCTCTTTTATGGGATTCCCCTGGCTTGTAATCACACAATTCCATTGGCTGGCAAGACCCTGTTGCTAGTTAGCCAACCAGCAACGGGCAT